CTCTCCCGTTGCGGAGCACAGGCTCCGGACGCGCAGGCTCAGTGGCCATGGTTCACGGGCCCAGCCGCTACGTAGCATGTGGGATCTTCCCAGACCGGGGCACGAACCCGTGTCCCCTGCATCGGCAGGCGGACTCTCAACCGCTGCACCACCAGGGAAGCCCACATCTACATCTTTCACCTTTTTCAAGCAAAGCTGATGTACTCATGATTTCTGTGATTAGACCAGGGCACAATTTTGAACATTATCATACAGTGTAAACAAAAGAAAAAAATCCATTGACATTAAAGAACTCTTGGTACTAAATTGGCAAGGTTGCTTTTCTGTGGCTTTCTGGTACCTTGAGACTGGTCTCTAACATAGCACTTACCCCTTTCAGACAGAGCTGGGTTATGTGGGACCTGATGTCTATGTAAGTTCTGGGGGTCCTTGAAGAAAAAGAATGTAAAAATATTTATTCTGCAAGTTTGTAAAAATATATGAGCATATTGCAAGGGTGCCAAGTTAGAATGAAATAAATTGGAAATAAGATCATATCATTTCCCTGTTTAAAATGTTTTCATGGTTTCATTGCAGTTAGAATAAAATTCAAACTCCTTATATTGGGCTATGAGCCTGCTGCTATCCCCCTCCTGCCTGCCCCCTCACTCCATCTCTTTAACCACATTTCTTGCTGCTCCTTTCCTACATTACCCTGGTCCTCTTTCACTTCCTCCTTGCGATGGTCCATACTCCCTCCAGACCCTTGCACATGCTGTTCCCTTTGCCTGAAATGAATCATCCCTTCCTGTGCCCAAGCTAGGAAGGAAGCAATCTTCACCTCTCTGCATAAATGTCATTTCCTCAGAGTTGTTCACAGACCACCTAATCTAAAGTAGGTCTCTCTTTCTCATGTCACGGGATTTTTTAATGACATTTCTTCACTGTCCATAATATTTTTAAGGGTATTTTAAATATTTCTCTCTTCTGTACACCATAAACTATAAGCATAGGACTGCCCTTTTTCGATTCACTCTTCTGTAAGTAGTACCTAGAATAGTACCTGGCACGTAATAAGTGCGCAAATGTTTGTGGAGTGAATCAGTGAGTGAATGAAATTTCTAATATTTGCATGTGTTTAACAAACCTTTTAATACCTTTTCATTTTTTTCTCTTATTTTCCCCTTTACTCTCATTCCCCCTTCCCCATTTCCCTTTTTTTCACAGGCACCATCTCACCCACTCTAGGTTATTTAATATATGGTCTTATAATTCCACCCGTTTGTTGGCTATATGTGTGCCTTTGGGAGGTATTCAACAGATAGTATCGTTTTGTGTGCTTAGAGTGCTGAATGATATTGTACTATTATTCAGCCTTAAAAGAGAAGGGCATCCTGCCATTTGTGACACCATGGATGGACCTGGAGGACAGTATGCTAAATGAAATAAGCCAGACACAGAAAGAAAAATACTGCATGATCTCAGTTTATATGTGGAACCTAAAAAAGTGGAATACATAGAAGCAGAGAGTAGATAGGTGGTTAACCAGGGGTGGGGAGGTGGGGGAAATGGGGAGATATTCGTCAGAGGATACAAAGTTGCAGTTAGTAGGAAGAATAAGTCTAGAGATCTAATGCTTAGCATGATTACTACAGTTAATAATACTGTATTGAATACTGGACATTCGCTAAGAGAGTAGATTTCAGGTGCTCTTGTCACACACACAAAATAGTAACTGTGAGGAGGTGTGTATGTTAATTAGCGTGTCTGAAATAATCATTTCACTGTGTGTGTATATTGAATCATCATGTTGTACACCTTAATTATATTCATTTTTTATTAAAAATCCTATTGTGCTATAAATCTGCATCAGTTGGGATAGACTAGAACATCTCAGTAGTTTGACATGCTTGCAGGTCAGTGGGAGGCTCTGTTGATTGGATTCCATCAGGGACTCAGGCTGACGGACACACCATGTCTGAAATATGCTTAATGAAAAGGGAATCTTGTGAACCACCTTCTGGCTTTTAAAGTTTCTGCCCAGGAGTGACACATGTCACTTTTGCTCCCATTTTTGTAAAGCAAGTCACATGGCCATGTTGACCTTCAAAGGGGGCAGGGGCCTTCTTGGAAGGAGGATAATCAACAGTATTTGAACAGAAGCAATGACCACCCTAAACTTTTATTTCAGTTTCTTTTTTTTAACCAAACACCATGTTTCTGCACTCTGTTCATGCTGTTATACATGTATCTAGTTCATTATTTCTCTTGGTTGCGGAATAGTCAGTCTTGTGCATGTACCACATTTTACTTATTATTCCTCTAGAGAAGACAATTGTGTTGTTTCCAAACCCTTGCTGCCTCAAACAGTGCAGCCATCACCATCCTTGTATGCGACTCCTTTTGGACTCTTGTAAGAGTTCCCTGTGGAATGTACTCAGAAATGGGATTGCTGAGTCTTAGGGTACCTTGCCTCTCCTTCCATGATAA